GGGAAGAAGTGAGAGAAGAGAGAGAAAGAAAGAAGAAAGAGAGAAGAGAGAGATAGAAAGAGAGAGAGATGAGAGATGAAGAGAGTAGAGACGAGAACGAGAGAGAGAGAAGAGAAGAGATAGAGAGAGTAGAGAGAGAGAGAAGGAAAGACGAGAGAAGAGCGAGAAAGAGATGGGAGAGGAGAGAGAGAGAATTGTATAGTAAAATTGTACTTTGTGAATTTAGTAGCCGTGGCTGTGTACAGTAACTTATTATAATTTACAGCCTATCAATTTGCTTGTTTACTCATATGTTATTGTATACATCATACTGCATTTTTGTATTTGGTGACTTTATTACTAGTTGTAGCCTGTACTATATTAATCTTACCCAATTTTTTAATAATGCTATCCTAAATATGTTTTATTTATTGTGCAAAATCCTGTATGTGTTTACATATTTGATCAGCTATATGTGTGAATATATGTACTTGTTGTCAAGTTCTTGGAAATAAAATAAAAATATATTAAAAAATAAAATATAAAAGAGAGAGAGAGTAGAGAGAGTAAGAGAAGATTTAGATGAGAGAGAGAGAGATGAGAGAGACATGAGAGAGAGAGGAAAGATGAGAGAGGAGAGAGAGAGAGTAGCAGAGAAATTGAGAGAGATGAGAGGAGAGATAGAGATGATAGATGAGATAAAGAGATGAGAGGAGAGAGGAGACGAGAGATTGGATGAGAGAGAAGAGAGACCGAGAGAGAGAGAAAGATAGAGAGAGAGAGAGACAGAGGAGAGATAAAATGAATGAGATCGGAGAGAGAGAGGATGCCCCTGTAGCATGTTGTTCCCAACGCAGCGGGCCCGGTGATACGTATACAGTACATTACACAGGTGCAAAATTAACGCTTAAGTTCCGGTAGTCACAATACCTCCCTTATTGTAATGTCCGGGCTCCCTGATTTGACATATGCAGGAGTCCGTGTGACTCCCTGAAAATTCTGCTATACTAACTAGTTCGTTCCAGACCACAGCCTCGCGGAATTACCATATTTTTTTTGGCAAATGACCCAGAAAAATTTGGCAGACGTGCACTGCAAATGACCTTTTTGTTAATATCTGCGATACTACTTGTATACTTCGGACTCCTTCATTTTGCTGCGGACTCCTTTTTTTTGATGGTAGGGAGTCCAGTGGACTCGCTTGTTCAAAAGTTAATTTCTATCCCTGTTACCACCGCGACGCGGGACCCCAGCACTACTTACGGGTAGCCGAGATAGAGAATGTGAACGAAGCTGTATCGCATGGACACTTGGTAGACGAAGTAACCGGTCGCACTCCCCCACACTAGCAACACCATCAGCTTCAGCAGCTGCAGCAGCCAGTACTTCACTGTATACCTCTTGCTCACTGGCGCCTGCGCAACAGAAGAGAATATCGTTAGAATTCCTTCCTTCCTCTTTTTAGTAAATTGCAAATTTTTCTACACTTTTTCTACTGCGATCTGTGTGTATGATGTGTGGACTTTGATGACTATGATTTACGAGGTTACAAGGTTACGAGAACTTCGCAGATTCTTTCGTATGTTTTTACCCGCTTATTCACTCGCAGTCTCATGAATTATCTATCAATAGATACATTTGATCGAATTCGGTCTCCCAATTTCAACATTATATGATATCTAGCTGGACTTTGAAGAATAAGTTTGGTGAGGTGATACGAAACCAGGTTTTAAAGCATGTTAAAAGAACAAATATATTTTATCACTGTTGGTCTCTCACTTTCAAAATTATATTCTGTCGGATTTTGAAGAATAAGTTTCATGAGATTATGCAAAACCAAGTTATGTTAAAAGAATGCATTTGATTCGACGAATCCTATGTTCACAGTTAGTAGAAGTCAAGTATAGGATATTGTGACAACGCTGTTACCTGCATCAGGAAGCACCAGACTAGGTTTTTCGTGAGAACAACCACGATTAGTGCCAGAAGATTGGTGTCTACAAGATAAAAATTCTGCGGAAAAAAAACATTAACAAACATTATCACACGTGATGCATGTGAATATTATTATGCAGTTAATTGAACTCTATATGGAGTACTATATAATGCTTCCAGCTGCTTTAGTATTAAAATATACGTATATAAAATATATGTATAACTGTATAAGAAAATAAGTATAAAAATTTGGTATGCTTTCAGTATTAAAATTGCCAATAAAATCTCTCCGTGTACATGTCGCAGATCTTTTACCAAATCGCCAGCAGTCACAAAGCATCAAAATCCCTAGCTATCAACACCTCTCCACATAAACGGAAAGGCTAGCGAATTGCAGTCAATTGCACGCACTACGAGGTAAGTTACCAGAGCTTGCCGAGTGTGGGAGTGAGGCAGCCACCACACTGTCTTGTACAGGTTGATGTACTGCAGACCGACAGCCAGCAGGCAGTACGTGAGAACGGTGAATTCGAACGACAGGCAGCTGTCTGTCAACATGGTGGGAAGCGCGGCGTGCTTCGGCAGAACGACGATGGACGCAAGCGGAGCGCCACCTGGAGCCGGCGTCATTCTGTGGAGGATAGCGGAGCGAGGGTCAGTTAACTGCGAACAAATCCTGCGTTTGTTCAATTTTTACATTACATAATATCAAGCTATGTACATTCTTGTCCAGTGTTCACAATGTATGTGTGCATGCGTGCGTGCGTGCATGCATTTATGCTATTGCTTATCTATCGTCTACGTTATCGTTTTTAATGCACCATGACCATGCGTGTGCAATGGTACATACTACATGTAACATGATGACACTGTCTATACATCTATGCTGCTGTCTATACATCTATGCTGCTGTCTGCTATCTATGCTATACATATATGTCATCTATACACCTATGCTGCCAAGTGCAACCAGTTACATGAGTTATGCCAGAAACCATACCATCCATACAGTACCCCCGGTAAGAATGAC